GAGAGAGAGAGAGAGAGAGAGAGAGAGAGTGTGTGTGTTCAGGATTGAGAGGCAGAATTTCTTAGCTTTAGGTGGCTAGCAGCTGGCTGGGCTGCAGTCTCTGGGCAAGCTCTGCCCACAGCCCTGGGCAGGAAGGGAGGGGTCAATGTGGATCTGCCCTGCCCTGTCCTGGGCTGCAGTGACTCTTGCCAAGGCCCTGCTCCAGCTGCAGGGCCTTCTTCCTCCTTTTCTTCCTCCTTTTCTTCCTCCTCGATTTTTTTTTCAATTGAGGTAAAGGTCATAAACATGAAATTAACCATTTTAAATCATGCCATTGAGTGTCATTTAGTGCATTCACGAGTGGTGAGCCATGACCTGTCTAGTTCCAGAGCATTCCATCACCTTCCAAGGAGGCTCAGCACCTGTTGAGGAGTGGCTCCTCATTGGCCATTCCCCAGCCTCTGGTGACCTCAATGTTCTCTGTCTCGGTAGCCTTACCTATTGGGCAGGTTTTGGCCTGGTGAGAATGACTAATGTTGTTTCCAAAGAACGTGGCCTTTGTGTCTAGCTTCTTTCCTCATTCCTTTTGTACCCTGAAGTCATGTCCCCTTTCCCTGAAGTTTTAGGACCCACCCAAGCAGTCCTCAGGACTCACACTCCTTTGCCCAGGAATTTAGGCCAGAGAAAGAGAGGAAACAAGGTCAGGAGGCTTTGGAAGGGGAATACATTCCGCTTAGGAAAATTGACAAACAGCAGTTTCTGATGCTAAATTTGGTTGGGAGGCCAATTATCTATGGCCACAAGGTTTTAAGTACCATGGTGGGGCCCTCTGTGCCAGGCCACATGGAAGACAGTGTGAGCAGGCTCTTCCCTGGAACCAGACACTGTCGGAGTCCAGCTCCAACAGGGGGTCTCAGGAGACGAACGGATGGTGAGGAGTTGGCGAAAGGGGGGTGGAGAAACAACACAGACACCAAAGTGAAGGTGCCGAATCCCAGTCTTTACTTCTGAAGTCGATCATATATACTTTTTCATTTTGGCAGGCTCACAGTACTTTGTGGTTACAAAACAGGAATCATTATTCAAAGAAACAAAATATTATGTAGCTACAATTAGAATAGAAGAATGTATCTTGGCTTAGGCATAAGCAAGCATTTTTCCTTTCAGTTTGCGTTTTGCTATGAGCAGTTTCTGTTTAGTTAACTTTTAATAATAGTTAGAAATGTCCCAACTATTGGCCTATACCTTGACTATTCTTTCTTGACTTACTGACTGGAACTGGTGCCATGGTTATGGCAAGTGGTTAACTTGTTATTAATTTTAATCAAACAAGAGTAAGAGCACAAACCATTGTGCACAGGAACAAGAACAAGTTGCCCAGTACTAAGCACTAATCTGTCTTCTTAACATTAATTCTTCTTCTCTAGATTTTAATTTAATTTCTCAAAAACTTCCTTGACAGGAATACAGGGAGTTTTTCATTAGACATTAACAATTTACGCTCCACAGCTGAATCAATGCATTTAGAGCAAACAGACCTATTCTTAGAAGTAGTTGCATTAATTGGGAAAGTCATGTTTTTTCCTTCATACTTAATGGTCATATGAGAAATCACAACTATACTTATTAAAGGAATACAAAAACAAACCAGCCCATTCCCAGAAACATACTGCGCTCCTCCAGAGGATGGACGCCTTGCGCCTTCCACCTCAGTAGGGCCTTGCCATTGCCTGAGTCAGGGGAGGAGCGCAGCAAGACATTCCATGCCCACCAAGGATAAAATGTAGCTCTCCGAGACTGCAGTGGGGCTGGATTTTCACTGAGCTGTATTTCTAATCAGACAGAAAAGTGTGGATAAACAGCAAAAAGGATCAAATTCCCTTACATTCCAAGTGGCTACACCTGGCTGTGAGGTCGGAATGCTCTTTTAAGATACATGCTGTAGGACTGGGGAGGCAGCTCAGGGGTAAAACACTTGCAGAGTATGTTTGAAGCCCTGGCTTAAGCCCCAGCACCACAAAAATAAATCAGTCATAAAGATACCCATCATAAACCTTGGGTCAGGTCGGGTGCTTGGCTGATTGATATCATGGCAGGGTTTGGGAACTGTAAGTGGAGGAAATTATAGGGGGAGAAAAGTAAAGGTTTCGCTCCAACTCCAGCTCTGTGTTGGGAAGAGTGATTTGAGATACACTAAGGCCTCTTTGGTTTTTCTCTGTGTGTTTCATAATTTTCTGTGAAGCCAACTGCCTGCCCCTTCTGTTTCCTGGGAAGGAGAAATGCAGATTGGAGTTAGAGACCGTGGATTGGGGCAGGCTGTCTCTGGACTTTGTTCCTGTGGGAGGGCTTATTTATCTTAGTCTTTGAGGTTCAGACACTGACATACGGGTCTCTGAGAATCACACGGTGCCCCTGCTGCTCCTGTCTGATACCTCATGACCTTGGGCAGGCCTGTTTCCTTTCCAAGGCCTCAGCTTTCTTGACTGAAAGTGAAGACATTGTATTTTGTAGCAGTTTGAATAGAGTCTCTGAAAATTTACATTTGCCCAGAATCTTGGAAGGTGACTCTGAGGCAGGGGAGACTTGTCACTCTCAAGTTCTGATATTTGACTCTGAAATGAACTGACAGTGATGGAGAAGCAGGAGGAAAAACAAAAGCAGGTTTACTAGCATGTGCAGAGCATAGCACGTGGGAGAAACCGCAGTGACAGGCCTCAGAACTCTGCTTTACACAGGGTCCTCAACCAAGAGCAATCGATTTTAGGGGATTAGGAAGTCAAGGCAAAACAGTTCTAGGCTTCCTGAGGCAGAGAAAGCAGAAAGGTAAATATAAGCAGAAACTAAGGGAAGCTAAGGCTCACTGGTTAGGTTTATTATGTAGGTTCCTCTGCTGCTGGCCCCAGCCGAGGGTCTACAACTGTTTCTAGCAACTAACTTCTGTGCTTCCTGATAGACGGGATGAGGGGAACCCTTTACAAATCAACATGTTGCTTTTAGGCACACGGGGGAGGACACAGAGCTTTTCTGCTTCTGATTTTTAAAGACTATCTTAAGCACAGCAATACTTCATATTGTGGGGAGGCATAATCTAGTGCTCCACATGACTTTATTTGGAAATGGGGTCTTTGCAGGTGTAACGAAGGTAAAGACCACAATGAGATCATGTTATGGGACAGAGAGATGAGGGTGGTGGGAGCACGAGATCAAGAGAATAATACTATAAAATAGGCCCACTTTGCTGACCCCTCCTCCACGTGCTTTCTTTGCCAAAAGGCAATTCTCCTGCAGCCCTGCCTGGCCTAAGTGGACAGGATATATCACATTCCTCAGCAAACTGAGGCAGAGGCCAGGTCAGACAGTCAGTGTAGGTGATAAGTGACGGGGTTGAGAGGGTGACGACTGGTTATTAGAGAGACAATGGGTTGCTGAGGGTCCCTGTGATTTTGCACCTGGACACTCTGGTCTTGGTCACATATGTGGGGAAGAAAGAGAAGACAGTATTTAAAAAGGGGGGTTCTGAGGTTTATAAAAAGCAAGTCACACTCCTCATGTGCTTCGAGCTCTGAGAGTTCCTTTCTTTTCAGAGAAGTTTGCTGCTATCACTTTGTTAAATAAAACTTGCTTTCTCCACTTGCCTTGGCATTTCTTGGGTGTTTAATCTTCAACACTGGGGATCAAGGACTCATTCTTGGTCTCTAAGACCAGTAGCAAATTACACTGGAGGAGGGCTGGGGCTGTAGCTCAGTGGTAGAGTGCTTGGTTAGAATGAGTGAGGCCCTGGGTTCTGTCCCCAATAGTGGAAAAAAAAATTAGTCATATTGCATCAGCCTGGACTCTAAATCCACAGCAAATGAACTTATAAGAGACAGAAAAGGATACCTGGCCAGGCCACAAGATCACAGGCAAGGGTGGCGTGATGCTGCCATGTACCAAGGAGTGCTACGGCCTGATGGCACCCATCAGATCTGTCGTGAGGAAAGGGGCCTGGCACTCTCTCTCTCAGCCTCCAAAAGAGACGGAAGGAACTGACCTCACTGGCACATTGATTTTAGGTGATGATACATTTCTGTTATTTTACGACTGTGTGCAATACTTTATTACAGCATCCATAGAAACAAAAACGGATTAGATACTATTTCTAGGATTAATTCATGTCTTCATGGTGAATTACCGTTTTAACAAAGTGTAGTCACTTAAATTTGTTCCTCATGGTAAATTCTTGCCTGGTGGCTTTTCTGGGTGCAAGGAGATTTTTATCCACTCATTTGTCCCGTTTTCTGCAGAGGGCATATCTACCCATAGGACAACAGTCTGGCAGCAGCCCTAGGACTCCTGTCCATGTGCCTTTTCTGAAGTGCAGGGGCAGGTTGAGGACATTGGTGATGGTGTGACAATGATGACATTCTCGCCATCATCCCTTTGCTGTGAGGCTGTGTATGGATGACGAGCCCCATGGGCATGAGCTGAAGCGGGTTGGCCAGCCTCATCTGCTGTGCTGGATTGGAGGCCAATTATCTATGGCCACAAGTACCACGGTTGGGCCCTCTGTGCCAGGCCACATGGAAGACAGGCTCGTGCCCGCTCTTCACTGGGCTGAGACCTGCCTGAGACTCAGGCCATGGACCTGGGCTTCTGTGGATTCACAACCTCCTCCTGTTTGTAGAAAGGAGCCCCTTGCAGCCCCTCCATGCCCCTGTGGAAAATGTAGACCAGATATCATTACTCTCACATGTAAAGGTGGGCTAGCAGGGTAAAACAGTGACCTCAGACCCAGGTCTGAACCCCAGCTGGAGAGTTTGCTAGCTGTGGAAACCTGGGCAATGACCTTACTATATCACAGAAATTTTGTGAGGATTGGGGTTAAACCTGCAGGACGTCAGGTTTGCAGCCAT